GAGTTATTACTGTAGCTGTCTTTTTCTCCAGATATTAGTTACCAACAATACTACAATGTTACACTGGTGAATCTGTATCATCACCATTATGATTTAATAGTATCAGCCTTTGGTTTCAAAATCATTTCCCATGGGTAAGTCCCACTAAATGGCTGTTTGGTTATATGAATCCCCTAAACCCTATGTTGCTAAAAACCAACTCTTCCGCTTGTGCAACTGTTGCCAACTTCAATGGATTGTTTTTTTTGGGACATTTACAGGAAAACCAGGAAAAACACCCGATATTTAACCACCAATTCCACATGTTTAACCCATTTTTAATGGGAAAGTCGATGGTTTCCGGTGAAGATTTCTCCACCAATCCATTGACGACTCCAAGGATTTTGAATGTCCTGCCTGTACGGGCTGCGAATTTTGGCCCTGCGGGGAATACGAACGACGCTGGGACGCGGACGAGTGGTTGATATTGTTACCACCGGGAAAAAACCATCACTGGTTGGTGGTTTGGAACATCAATTTTATTTGGAACAATAATCCCATTTGACTAATATTTTTCAGAGGAGTTGAAGCCACCAACCAGTCATATTTTAATCAATGAAGATTTTAATCGATCGAAATAATAGGATTAATGGAATTGAATTGAATATGTTTTTTCGTGAGATATCATGGGATAGTCATCTATTTTCTGAGGATATAATGAAGGTATAACTTTGGGATGGGTCTGAAAATGGGGGATAAACCACCATAATTGCATTTTTTTCATGATCAAGTAATGATTAATCGCGGTCTTTTGGCAGTCCTATTTTCAATCAAACCCATATCAAAGATTTGTGAGTTATTCCTTGACGATTGCTGGGTCAAAATATGGATAAAATTGATAACGCATTGATAAACAAAACGCACAAACGCACGGAGGTTAAAGCAATGGGGATACAAATGGATATAATCCGATACTTGCTAGTTACCCTCTGGTAAACTAGCGTGCCTATGGAAAAACACCATGTTTAATGGGAAAATCCACTATTTCTATGGCCATGTTCAATAGCTTTTTGTTTGTTTACCAGGCCGGGTACTACATGTGGAGGTTTGTTGCTGGGACGGGGTTTCCCAAGCGCGGTTTTAATCATGGCCATGGGACAACATAGGGATAGAACCAGCAACAGTGGATAGAATGCTGCCATTGGATGAAGTGACAAGGTCAAGGCTAGACAGGTAGCTAGATAGATTGGCGGGTAAACATTTACCGGCAAAAATCAAATTAGATAGATAGACTTACATCTAGATACATATAAATCATATACCCTCTGGTAAATTTACATAGACCCTGAAAATCACCAATTTTTAGTGGTTTCACTAATCTTCCAACCCCGATGACTACCAGGGTCAAATTGTTAATTTACTGGAGGGTAAGGTCTAAATCTAGATACACATCAATCGAATTAGATCGGCAAGTAGTGGCTGTATGCTTTGTACTCCGCCCCATAGAAAGTTGGAGGAAGATGCACACTGAGCCAACCTTTTTAAGAGCAAAGTCTACGAGAGAAAACCCATTACCCATACACACTCTACCCAACCCAGTACCCTCTGGTAAACTAACATAACTATGGAAAATCACCATTTTTAATGGGAAAATCAATGAAAATCAACTATAAATGGCAATTTTCAATAGCTATGTTTGTTTACCAGAGGGTATATACCCTCCTAGCCTGGGTAAATTGAAATGTGACCTTGCTGGAATCATGATGAATCATGCTTTGGATTCGAGAAATCTTCCCCAAATGGCCGAACTTTTCAGCGGTGATTTTTGCAAAATGTCCCCTGAGAGCTCGACATACTGTGGTTGCGAAATGCACCAAAAGGATGGTTGAAAGCCTGTCTGGTTGGTGGTTTGGAACCATGGATTTTTATGACTTTCCATTCAGTTGGCTCAACCACCAACCAGATCATCATTAATCATCATGAATCACCATTATTATGATCATTATTAACAATGATTATATAACCATTATTAACCATTATTAACCATTATTAACCATTATTAACCATTGGGATGTTTGAAAGATACCATTATCATCCCATTATTAATGGTTAATCATTATTGACGCTGGTAATCAATACCATGATTAACAAGATCATTTTTTCACCATTAATTATCACCATGGTTAATAATGGTTAATAATGATGATTCATGATGATTGCCTGTTAATAGTGATCTGGTTAATGATCTGTTTAATTATCACCATGGTTAATCATCACCAGATCGTTATCATCATCATTAATCATTTCATCATGATATACCCTATAAAACCAACCAGCTGTAGTTGCCATGGTTGTTGCCACATAGTTACCATTAATTATCACAATGGTTCATCATTAATCATCATGAATCACCATTATTATGATCATTGTTAACCATAGATAACCATAATTAACCATTATTAACCATGATTAATCATAGTTAACCATGGTTAATCATCACCATTGGGATGTTTGTTAAATATCGCCTGTTAAAAACGCCTGGGATATTTCGCCATGTTTCGCCATCGTCGCCAGGGCGGATGATGCTGTCCAGTGGAAACTTCAGTTCTCAAGCGGAATCCGGGGAATACGTTGGATCCTTGCAGTCCATGGTAGCTCGACGTGGCACGAGGCTGAGTTTTTCTTCCAGGTGGTGTTTTTTATGGATGAAAACCTAACATGAAAACCATAGGAAAAGCATAGGAAAATGATGGCTGAAGCATGTTGGAGCAAGAAAAATGATGGTGATTTACGATTTGTGATTTATGATAGCTAAAATCAAAAATAATTTCAATCACTTTATGGTTTATGGTATATATATATATATCGAACTAGTTCACTGGAGGTGATGTTTACCAATTTAAAAACTCGGGACACTGGTTCGAACCACGGTGAGATATGGTGACCCTTCCCATGATAAAATGGGATTTTGACGGGCGATCTGACGGGTTTGCTGAGCTATTTCCAGATTTTGATCGGGGATTTACCACAAATAATAATGGACATACTGGTTGGCGGGAATAGTAACCCCAACTGACGAACTCCATGATTTTTCAGAGGGGTTGAAACCACCAACCAGACAATGAATGGACATATGACAGGGAAAAAGGTGAGAAAATGATCGAACATGAGGATCAGGGGCTGGGATTCATCAACTGCCAGAAGCTACCTAGGGAGAAGGTTCTGCTCAGGGTGCCTTTAAATAATCGACCTCCTAAGTTGAAGTCATAAGAGATCAACTTTGATATCAATCTACTTTCATTTGATTGTCCTTTTAAAACCTAGAAGAAATCAAAAAATAGCAAGGATCTTAATTGATATCAATCTACTTTCAACTGATTTTGCTTTTCAACCTAGAAGAACTCTCAAGATTAGTCAACTGATACCAATCGACTTTCCATTGATTCTCCTTTGAAACGAAAAATAAATCTCAAGATTGGTAAGGTTTTCATTTGATATCAATCTATGTTCACTTGATTTTCCTTTTGAACCTAGAAGAATTCTAAATTGGGAGAAAACATGCCTATTATTTGGGTGGGACATGGGCTCATGAGGGGTACCCTTTGGGGGCGTCTCAAGTGATGGTGTTTAAATGAATTTTAATAAAGAAATTGATCATTTAGGACATGTTTTTTTATTTAGCCAAGAATTTGGTTTGAACCAAGTCTGCAAGACTGAGCCTGTTTGTGACTGCAAAGTCACAAGTCTGTGACTGCAAAGTCACAAGCCTGTGACTGCAAAGTCACAGAAAGGCTGGCGCCAACCCAACACAGTGCCTCACCCAACACAGTAATTAATTACTCAACCCGTATGATTGTATTAGAGGTTTGTCAGGATGAAAGCTCTGTGTAAGACTTGAAGGAGTGGTGCTCAAAGCATGTGACTGCATATGGCAAACAAAAAGGGGATTTTCTCTGTGGGGGTTGATTAATTGGGGAGGTACACCCCCTCGGTATATTAATCAAGGCGGACCAACCCATGTTAGTATTGCCAAAACATTTTTCCTGTGTGGGGGTTGACTGACCCCTAGTGGTTTATTAATCACAACTTGAATTTACGCTGGAAGCATAGTGGGATACATACTGAGAATCAATAAAAAAAACAGGCAGGTCCGCTCGAATCCAGGAACCCCTGGGTTTATCCAAGTGATGGGTCATGTTGAGGAGACTCATGTGGGGGGGTTCTTAAAATGGGGCATCCCATCTGAGGAAGCCGCCATGTGAGTTCAAAAAAAACGCAGATATGCTGAAGTTCTAAGGCACAAAAGTAGCTTGTTTACGACCTTTTCTTGTGCAAAACTTCCATAAGTTTGATCCTTCCATTTGTTTTTGACTATCAAACATGTTGTTTGTTTCTTACATTTTCAGTTTCGAACTTCCTCATCCAACCATCGGTAACAATCGTTCATCTCCCAGAGTCTGAGCCGGGCCCCATCATCTCCATATGGAATTTACAAACCCAATATCTTCCATGATCCAACAAACCAATATGGATCACAAACCGCTATAGATCCATCCAACAAAATTACGGCCGATTATCGGACTATCTCACTACTATCTCGCTGAATCATCGCCTGACTCTCTGTATAGTGTATATATATATGCTTATTTATATTTGCAATGATATTTATGTATTTATATATATATATATGTATATTTAGAATTTTATAGAATGTATAATTATATATATATACATAGAATATATATATATATAATATGCAAAGATAGTATATAGTAGAATTCATAAATACCAGGTAGTGCCGGCCCGCGCCGTGGCGGAAGTTTTGGAAAAAAAAGATACCAACTTTAAGAAAATTGCCTAGGAAAGTGTTTGAGATGAGAAACAATGAAGTGTTGTGAAGTTCTAAAGTCAACGAACGGGCATTTTTGGCGGCCGAGATCCCAACGAATCACTGAATCGATGAACGGAAATAAACCAATGAAGCACTAAAATCAAGAATTGATCAATCAAGCAGTGAATCACTGAATCAAGGAATTAATTATGGCTCCATGATTCAATGAATCAATGATTCAACGATTCAACGAATCAGTTAATCACTGACTCAGTGAATCAATGATTCACTGAATCAATGCATCAAGGAACCTATGAACCAATGAATTTAGCAAACCTCATGCTCCAAAAGTGCGCCGGTTCCTTCATTTTTGTTCCAACTTTTATGTGAAATCGAACTCTGGCTACAGTTTGCCAACCTTATCCTCCAAAAAAAGTTCTGATCACCGCAGTTTTTTTTGCGTTTGTTTGGTAAAACGAACTCGCACTACAGTTTCATCTTCCAACAGTGCATCGAACATGCCAGTTTTTAATCAAGGCCCGCACCAGCGGAAACAGACACCCGACTTGGGCGACCCCAGAAGAAAAACGCAGGGTTTCGCATCCAAAAGTGATTGGTGGTTTGGAACATGACTTTTATTTTTCCATATATCTGGGCAAATTATAACGACCTCACTGCGACCTCACTGGAATCATCGTTAATAAGGGAAATCATCCCCAAATGGCCTTAATTCAGGTTAGTGAAATATTATAATTTTCCCATATATATATAGGAAAAATCATCCCAACTGACGAACTCATATTTTTCAGAGGGGTAGGTATACCACCAACAAGAAAAGTGTTTTCACCCACTTCCCAACTAATTACTTGACAGTGGTTGGCATGCAGATGTGGTTGACATGATGGTGTGAATGCTAACCATGACCATCGTCCGTAACTCGGAAATGTTCAAATGAAACTTCGTTTGATAAAGCATAGCTATATAATTGTGTATAATACAGAACTTATCTATACTTATGATTACTCATGTGACAAAATGTCAAACAATATACCGCCAAGGTTCATCAAACTTCACCCCCCCGCATTTTCTCAGGACTCCACCGGCCGCCCTTTGCCACCTTTACCGGAGCACCCGCCCCGGCCGGGCACCGTGGTGTTGGTGGAGCCCATGACTACAAGCATCAGCGGCATCTCGGGCGGTGCCAGCGCACGCTCCACGTTGTCATCGCTCGAGTCCCCGCAAGCCTCGCCCAGCGTCAACGCCGCGGAACAGCAGCAGATGGCGGAGAGACCCAAAGTGGCCAAGATGAAGACGGCACCGGTGTTGTGAGCTGTTATCAGACATGAGTTTCTAGGCTATGTGATGAGTTTTTTTTGTTGAAATATGTGGCAATTGAAGTTGATGAATTTGGAGACGTATTTTTGTCAGTGGCTTTTAGGAATTGCGAACCTGCAAGATGATTTTTTTAAAATATCATAAAATTGTGTGTTTTGTTTCGGACAGTTTCCGTGGATTCATGAGGAGATGTGTCACCTGTTGGTTAACGTGGGAGAGTCGCAACGACGGAATGATGCTAATAAACATATTGACAAAATAGAACTGTCGAGTCATAGATTTGGCTGGAATTCCCGAAAAATGTGTTGATTTGGTAATGGCAAAACGGCAAAACCATGGTTTGCTGCAATTGGTTCCTTAAACCAATTGTATATTCACTGGCCATTTCAGGAGCCTAAACTGGAGGTACCTACCAGGACTTGTGGCTAAAGGGTCCCCACCAAATATGGCATTGGTACCGTAGCTCCACTGGTCCTGTGAAATCCTGGTGAACCAAGGGCTCAACAACCCCGGTGAAGCAAGAAATTGCTGCTGGTTGGAGATGAATTTGCTTGACCAGTGCTTGACTGAAAGGGTGATTACCCGGCCTGGTAAGCATACAAAAAGCTATTTGAAAATGGCCATTTATAGTGGTTTTACCCATTGAAAATGGTGATTTTCCATAGTTAGGTTAGTTTACCAGAGGGTACAACGTATTGGTGTTTTCGGCTACTGCCAATGTTTTCACAAACCCAACATGTTGATTTTCGACCAACCATCCCGGCAATATCCGGCCACTGCTCAAAGTAGCGGCGACTTGGCGCAGAACCACCCGGCCCGGTGAGTTTGGGGTCGCTGTGACTTGTAGAATTTGATGCCCCCATGGTGTAGTGACAGGACCAGTTTGGGATTTCCACACTTTTAGCATCATATATAATATATATGGTGTGCCATGGATCCCATCAATATACCCCAGTCATGTTAGCATACCCTCTGGTAAACTAACATAACTATGGAAAATCACCATTTTTCATGGGAAAATCAACTATTAATGGCCATTTTCAATAGCTACGTTAAATTACCAGAGGGTATATACCAGCACCATGGATCCGTCATGGGATATGATTTTCATTAAGCCAATGCCGTCCCAGCCGTCGGGGTTTACTTGGTATACGACTCTATATGACCTGACCTGACCTGGCCATAAACGGCTGCTTCATTTGGGGGTTACCAATTAAGGAGTAGCACCATGGTTAAGCCATGGTGTGTTCATCCATGACACTATGGTTGATCTTCAAGTTAATGGAAGTGTGTCCCCAAACTGGGACATATGCTGAATACCAAACATATAACCATAAACCAAATCATACCACCTTTTTTGGGGTATTATTTTATCACTCTCCTGAGGTAAACTTGGGTTTTACCAGGCCGATATGGTTCTTTAATGATTGGTTGCCACCATATCACGCACCATGTTCTACTTCTACCTTCACGCTATATGATGGTTAGGAGGGGAATCATTTCCAAGTGGCCGAAGATTTCTAGTTGATGTGGTTGCTGTAATTCAGCCAGGTTTATACTTAGGATTGCAACTCTGATCCATCTCAAACAGCACATACCACCTGAAAGCGGCTATGGGTCAACATGTTTTTGTCCTCCAAAATGTATGGTTTGAGACTTGACATGACCATATTTTTTTCATAAGTTCAGTTTCATAAGTCATGGGTGTAGCCGGTGTAGCTCCAAATCATCCAGAGACCATGACTTCGTACTGAAACGCTTAAGGATGGTGACGACTGGAGATCTCCCATGACTAGTCAGCACCACCTGCGGCCTGCGTTGCTGCTCATCGTTTATCATACCCGACATGCTAAACGTTCACAGTTTGCGAACTGGAAACTCATCATCTTTAATTGGTAAATCAACTATAAGGTGCAATGTTCAATAGCTATGTTAATTTACAAGAGGGTAAATTGGGGAATCTTGAGCAAAATGCAGTTGGTGTTATTTTTGTGGGTTTTTCACCATTGTAATAACACATAATATGTAACAATAAGTTGGATTAAATTGGGATATAACATGATATAACCCTCCTACAGTTATTATACAATGTTATATAACCACTTCGTTCACTGGAACTGCACCCCCAAGTATTCCATGCCCAGGGTACCAACAAAAAATAGAAATGCTGCAGGGTTTCCAAGGTCATCCACTGTTGGTGAATAAGCTCATTTGTTGTTGCTTATTCCCCCTAAATGGTTGTTGATTCCCATTTATACTAGGTATGTAAAGCCCGGTGAAATCTCACTTCTTCTTCATGGTAAATCTCGCAAACTGCAATGCTTAAACCATCTTGAATCCCTTGTTTTCTTACCGTGTTTGAGTGATAGACATTTCAGGATATTCCCCAAAAAAACTCCTATCACTAAGATTCAATCAATTTCAATCGAAGATATGCTTCTTGGCTTTCCCTGAAAATACCCCATTGAATTTTACACCGGTTTTCCTCATCATGTTCCCTAAACATCCCTAGACAAAATAACATTTTTATGGCTTTCTCCTGTTGACTCGCATGGGGGTCTGTTTCAATTTCGAAATTTTCACCTGGGGGTTCCCCGGAGAATAAGAGCCGTTGGCGCATCGGGCTGTGATTTTGTTGGCTTCGCCACCGCACGGTGGAAAATCACCAGAACATCATGGAATGTTGGAACAGCTGGGGATCATTTTTAGGAAATCCCATATAAACTATGGAGATACAGACATGTACTGGTTGGTGGTTTGGAGTTTGGAACATGACTTTTATTTGTCCAGTCAGTTGGGAATAAACCGATCCCAACTGACGAACTCCATAATTTTTCAGCCGGGTAGGTTGAAACCACCAACCAGATCATCATTAATCATCATGAATCACCATTATTATGATCATTATCAGTTGAAATATACCGACCCCTGAGCCCCACTATGTACAGCATAGGTAGTAGGTCTTATGTAGAGCATTGCCATAGCTATGAGTCCAACTATAATTCAAAGTAGCTATTCCCATTAATGTAGAGTAGCACCTCATACTTAGAAGCGTTAAGTATGTAGTGTAGCCATAGATTAGAGGGTAGTACTAGGTCCACCCTAACAACCACCTGGGTGTAATTAGTGTGTACCCGATGTCATGGCTCAAGTGCGGAAAATAGCGTCCGTACTTGTTGATTGTTTCATGCAGGGTTTACCGGATTGGGTTTCCTCCTTTTTGTGGGTGCCTGGTTCGTCCCCCTGTTTGACTGGTTATCAGCCGTAAGGCTTTTGTTAGGGAACCTAATCCGGTAAAACCTGCCTTAGGCCCTAACTTCTTTTCGCACTTCACTGTTCTTTGTTGCATGCCCACAGGCAGTTCGGAACAGGTCGCTGCTGATTCCAGCGCGACGGTAACACCAGCCGAGGGAGTCGAGGCAGCTGGGGAAGCAGAAAGCGTTGAGGTGTCCCCTCCGTGGCCTGCTGAACCGGTAGCTGAGACGTCTCAAAGCTGGGCCGATCTGTCTGAGGTACAAGCGCCCGTGCCGTCTGGTGTCGACTCCGTTGTGACAGACTCTACAGATCCCCACAGATCACTGGTAGAGGTTAAGGAGGAGATCCACGAGGCCGAGAGCATCAGTGCGGTAATCTCAGCAATTGGCCTGCCAGAAGAGGTCGTTGACGATCCCGTCGCGACGGAGGAAACTGGGGTTGACACTTCGATTCAAGATCAGTCATTTTTGGAACCACCTTCTGATTTGGGTAACCCAGCGGAAGCTGCTTTCACGGACATTGATCGAGCAAAAGAAGAAGAAGTAGATCCTCAACAAGATTCTTCAACTCTTTTGGAACAAGCCGACGAGATTGACACAACAGATTTTGCAGATCCAGCTGAAGAAGACCAACAACAGGTTGAATCTGCCGATCTTCTGGGTTTAGGTGACGTGGCGGGTCCAGTAGGAGAAGCATCCGTTGCATCCGAACCATCTGCATCCGTGCCTGAGCCTGCGGTCGCTGACACATCCGGTGTCGCGACAGAAGCCAACACTAGTTGCCCCGATCAAATAGTCCCACCACCAACTAGCCCTAATCTTGTTGACCCAGGTGCCGATCCTATCCAAGTAGGACATTCCCCCGCTAGTTCATCAACAGCCCACCGAACAAGGGTTCGATCCAGCAGGGGCGGTGCTCAAACCAGGTGGCAAGAAGCAAAGCGAGCGTGGTGGAACGACTTCGAGGCATACCAAAATTGGCTTTACCACAATTCCGGAGGGGACATCGTAGGTGGCTTTTGGTTAAGAAAGATTTCTTACGAATACGCCGACGAAAGCACTCGCTGGTTGATAGCTCTTCATTCAAGACTTGTTGAGGAGTTCCCAACATCACAGTGTTTAGCTTTGGCCTACCAGATCCTCATCCCTTACAAAGAGTGGGCACACACCTACGGTTTGGACAGGCGTAGAGGTACATCACACGCTGAGCAAGTGATAAACTCTGGTGAACTACCCCCAAAAAGGATCATCAATCAACGCATCTTAGGGGCAGAGCACCCACGCCCAGAAGAGTGGGATAGGTATTATAGATACGTAGGCCCACAGCAGCAACCCCATCCAAAAGTGGAAAGGCCTGCTGCCGCAACACCCGTTGCTGGCGCGGCAAGTGGAAGCGCAGGTCCAACTCCGGTCCAGCAAGGACCCAAGGAGCCTGGGCACCCACCGCCAAACTGGCAACCTTCTTTGAGAAGGCCACCTGAGCCAGCGGTCCCTCCACGTCCAAGGGTTACTGTTTCTGTCCATCCGGTCCCACAAGCCCCAAAGTCAGATTCTCAAGGGGTCGCTGCCTCTGGGCGCGACGTAGCACCAGTCCCAGCTGCTAGCCCTGCTAAGCCACCAGCTAAAGCTAGGCCTAAAGCTCCTGATTCTAGTGCCACGACCCTTGCAGATAGGATTCAAAGTTTGCCACCTCCGCCTAATAACATTGCCCCTAGTCCGCCCTCTCATAAACAACCACCTTTACCACCATTAC